TACTCTACATGTTTCGACGTTACAACTGAAGATGACGTCAACTTTTTGAAGGCCATAGATAGGCCTAAATAAAATGTTTTTTAATTGTGTACTAGTCTAAAGTTGGATATTATTTATGATTTTAATTACTGCTAGTATACCTCTGATCTTATACAAGTTGCGCATGCGCACAAACGGTGTGGAATCAACGTGCCAAGTGTTATGAAAACAGCCTACATTAACGTATTACGGTAAGCATTTAAACACTAGCACAGATAACATTTAACCAAGCTTTGTAAATGGTTTAAAATCGGCATTGTACTTCTAAAAATGACTTTATTTTGTTACAGTTCGAGTAAAATTTCAAATGACTACATCGTGTTTGTTGTGTATATAAAAACACGTCTCATTTCGTCGTATGTTTAAGTTTTTATGTGTGTGTATAGAAAAACACGCCTGTGTTTGAGAATATAAAACAAGTCCTACTTTGGTCTTCACAGTTCCCCCTCGCTGATCCCGGATGTGCTCCAACGTAGCTGCAATGTCAATTTCCTTAGCTCCTGTAAAACAAACAAAAACAATCAGAAAAAAGTGTAATTGGTTCTAGTGAACCGGATATGGATATTTCCAAAAACAGGTTGAAACTATACTTTAGCCCGCCCAACAGAAAACCTGGATTCGCTCTTATCTTCTGTAGTGAGTTTCGTTATGACGTAACTTCCGATGATAAGACCATTCATTCTTTAATCAATTTTTTTTTAATCATTTCACGAAACACCGTTAACGATAACACATACCTAGTCAATGAACTGTTAACAATGTCGGGGAAAAAAAACGATGTTAAAGGGAACACATTAATTTCAATAGTACATGAATATTTCCTGTTGAAGAGGCAACTCGCGAAGAAAAACATCTCTGTAATCTAACTGGGACAGCGATATTAGGAAAAGTTTCAAAGTTACTTAACCAAGAATGTGCAAGGATAAGCTCATGTCTGTATTTGATATCGTATTTAAGAATACTGCTAAAACTAAAGCAGTTTATTTACTGCTAAAACTATAATAATTAATTTTTGCTGATATCGTTGTAATTAATCTATTAATAAAAAACACATCGAGAGCATCTAAGATTTCTAAAAACCAGTAGTTAGAAACCGTGACAACGATTCTATTTCATTTTACCTGTTCGGTTTGTCTTGAAACTACGGTTGTAACAATTGGTTTTAATTACCTAGTGGCGAAATCTCCAGTAATTCAAATTTCATGCTTTTGGTGTTTTACAGGCATGAACAATCAGGCTAAGCCTAACTTTTTAAAACTAACGGATCAGGCTAAGCCTATTTTTTTAAATTAACGGACAAGCAGAATGATGACAGCCACCGCTCTTCAAGCACATACAACGCCTAACTTTTAGGCATTAATACACCACGAGAATTGTAAACTTAACCGCGGTAAAGCTTCATTACTGTAATCACAAGTTACGTTTATTTTGTTCCCCCTGAAGAACAGCAGTGATCGCTGGCGTTCTGAATATATATTAACAGAGTGTAAAAAAAGAGTAATTGATTTATATGCTGGTAAATATGTAGCTATCTTCTGAGCTGGGATGAATGTAGCCTCGTGCCCAGTATTGATTAGAATCAAAGTATTAAAAGACAAAAAACGTATTAACCAGGACTGAATTATTTTTTTTCCTTTTTATCATTTTCATTACGTTGGATTACTTAACCATCCAACATATGGCTGTAAAGCAGAGCACGGATTTATTGAGTAAAATATAACTATTCAGCAAAGCACGGATTTACTGGCTAAAATATTACTATTTAGCAGAGCACGGATTTACTGACCAAAATATAACTATCCAGCAGAGTACAGATTTACTGGCCTCACAACGTTTTAATTCTTGACAATGACACGGAAGAGCATATCGAACTTTGCTATGTGTTCCATTATTCAGATATCGTGAAAATACACATTGAGGGCCTTATCAAATTTTGTTGTCACATTTCGTTTCCAAGATTCAAATATACTTACAAACTGACGATGGCAAAACAAAGAAAAAAATCAGGTTTAATAGTTGTGATAGCAGACGATAATTAATAGAACAAACATCGTTCAATGGATGGAAATGTTTTACGCCTATTTCTAATGATGTGAAAGGTATTCATTTGGATTACACCAGACATCCTGCTGTTAGTAAACAGTTGTGCCACTGATTGTTAGATCTAAAGTAACATCCTGCTGTTAGTAAACAGTTGTCCAACTGATTGTTAGATCTAAAGTAACATCCTGCTGTTAGTAAACAGTTATCCAACTGATTGTTAGATCTAAAGTAACATCCTGCTTTTAGTAAACAGTTGTCTCACTGGTTCTTAGTTCTAAAGTAACATCCTGCTGTTAGTAAACAATTGTCTCATTGATTGTTAGATCTAAAGTAACATCCTGCTGTTAGTAAACAGTTGTCTCATTGATTGTTAGATCTAAAGCAGCAGGATGTTATTAGTAAACAGTTGTCCCACTGGTTGTTAGATCTAAAGTAACATCCTGCTGTTAGTAAACAGTTGTCCCACTGGTTGTTAGATCTAAAGTAACATCCTGCT